CGGATCATGCATCCGACGAAGTGGGCATTCACCCACGAAAGCTTATGCTCCAATACATCTGTTAGTCTTAAAGGTGCCACAGGACTCTCTCTTGCTTTTTACAGATCCAGACTAACATGGCTACCCCTCTGATACTTAAGAATTATTAAAGGATTTGAAAACATGATTTGTAGTCAGAGTCACGGAGCTCATTCTATTTATCTTAACAAAGAGAAGGTTAAGGAGTGCCTTGATTACAGTCTATAAGACTTACATAGGAAAAAAATATTTAATAATGGGCTTTTCAGTCTACCAGAGAAAGGTATAACAGTGCAATGACTGCAAGTTGAGCTAGACAAATTCCGACAGGAATAAGGCATACATTTTTAACAGAGTAATTAACCATTAATCACTGACCATTTTAAAATCAAGATTGGATGTTTTCCTAAAAATCTCCCTTAGGAACTATTCTGGGGAAGCTCTGTGACCTGTGTTAAACAGGAGATCAGACTAGATGATCATAATACTAATCTCCCTTGGTTGTGCTATCCTAATTACTCAAGATGGCATCAGAAATTGGTTTGGGAAAATTTCTGACCTCACTGGACATCTCTGAAGACCCTTATATTAGAAAGCTCTCTAAAGCTGTGGAATGATACTGTTTCCCTTTATGATGTACAGGTCATGTGCAGGATGTACTACTTATCATGGACGTGTACAAACTAGCCCTGAATTTCAAGCTCTCGCGACTGGAACAGCTCTGCCTCCAGTATATTGAAGCATCTGTAGATCTACAGAATGTGCTCATTGTGTGTGAAAATGCTAACAAGCTTCAACTGGATCAACTAAAGGTAAACACTGAATTTCACTAACAAGGTTACTGATAAAAATTAGAGAATTAAAGCTCAGTATAGTCAATGTAGACATTGACTCATGGACTAAACTCATGTTGTTTTGTGGGTTTTAAGGCTTTGAAGTTGACGTTGAAATTGGAGGTAGCAACTTAAACTTCCACCTGGGGCTCAGCACCAGCATTAAATTAGATTCCCTTCCTCCCTCTTCCTATGCCTTTAAGGCTTGGTTTACATTACAGAGTTTGGTTGACCTAGGGCAACGTACATTGACCTAGCTGTAAGCGTCTACACTAAAATGTAGCTCCCACCAATGTAAGTCACCCACTACAGTGACCTAATAACTCCACCTCTGCAAGAGGTGTAGGTAGATGTAGTTAGGGTGTCGCAGTGCCCACGTGGACACTGCGTTACTTACATCTTCTGTTGGCTGTCAGCCCTGGGGAGTTCCAGGTGTCAGTGCCCCCCAGTGCCCCACACAGTTAAGTCAGTAGAAGCACTCCTGGTGAGAATGCGTACAGCTGACAGAAGGTGGACGTGAACCACCACTTTAATTACTGTGGTGGCTGTACATCAATTTAATTTTGTAGTGTAGACATGCCCTAATGCAGCAGCTGGAACAGCTACTGCCCTAAAGACATCTCTTTACTTGAAATCCCTCTACAGTTCTTAGGTGGCTGTCATGGATTCCCAGAGTCTGATCTGTGTCTTAGCCTTTAACCAGTCTCCTCGGAGTACCCCTTTACTGTGCTGGACCCCTTGGATCCCCAGTGTTTTCCAGGTGCGGGACCATGGCTTCTACAATTTCACCTCTCTTTCTCTGTGGTTCCCTTCAGGGAGTCTAGCTGAGCCAGACTCCTGCAAGAGATATTTCTCCTTTCAGGGTGCAATGCTCTTAAGTAACTGCAGCAACACCAGGCTGCCTTTCCCCAGCAAGGTAACCTTTATTTGTCGCCTGGAGCACAGAAAGTCTTTGGGTTAGTATGAGAGTGGCAGACTTATGATAGAGTCCATATTGGTGGAACCAGGGCTTCATCCTGCTCTGCTTCCTCTGAGCTCTAGCCTCCTGCCAAGGATTCATGTTTGGTCATTGAGGTTCCCATTTTTTTTCTGGACCCTTCATTGCTTTGTGCTAATTCCAACCAGCTCTTAATGGCGCATTCTTACCACCCCAGACAGCTACGTGACCCAAACCTCTCATGCCTCCTGCTCTGTTCCAGGAGAAGCACGTTAACCCTTCTGCCTCCAGTGCAGTGAGGAGATGCATATAGTTCACAGAAATATTACAGAAAATTCACACATTTGTCACAGGAATTTCTCTCTCTTTACTAAAGTTTGTCTGGTTTCTTAAGCTCATTTCTTTTTCTCTGTTATTAGCTCTTCAAGTATGTGTCAGTGTAGTCGCACTGTAGGTGTGCACAGGCCTCATGTACAGAAGATCAGATATTTTGAATAGCTCTCACACAATGGCATAAAGGGCAGAGCAGCCACAACCCAGTTCCCCCTACTGCCTTAGCAAATCTCTGACCTGCAACTCTCTTCAGACCCTTTAAGCCAGATCTTTTAAGGTGCTTAGTGAAGAATTCTTATAATCAAATTTGTTCTCTGAAGGGTATTGATTGGTGACATCTCCCCACCCCATGTGCAGCAGCTTCTTGCCAGCTCCCATGCCTTGTGACAGAGTTCAAACCCTGCCGGTCCTGCAATGAACTAATCCCTATCATGGACAGACAAGCTAATGCCTCTCTTGCTTAGGAGAGAGTCACATCCTGAATAATTCCTTTGTGTGCAAGAACTTCTCCACTAGGACCTGCAAGTCTAGGAATGCATGGCTCAAGCTACATCTACTTGAGCAGTCCATACAGGTCACTTTGGCCCCAGATGTGACAATTATGACCAGAGTGAGGCTGGTTAAATTAGCATCGACCAGTGATCCCTTGAGTACTCTTCGAACTCCAGGATCAGGCAGTGGAAATAAGGCAAAGAGGACACTGGCAGAGTTGACACTGAGGATGTCAACTGCCTCTTAAGAGCTTGGCACTATGCACCTTGGCATTGACAGACTTGGCATTGGTAAATCTGGTGCTGAGAACTTTGGCTTCCTTACTGACTGCCCCAACTCAACGAGTAAAGCTAGCACTGCATCCACTTATAATCTGGACGCCCACTGATGTAGCCTGTACGAGCATAAACCTAGCTCCAAGACTGAGAGGAACTCCCAGGGGGAAGACATGGGATGTTTCTCCAAGGAAAAAACCCTTAAACAGTTGGGCAAAACAAGGGACCTACCACGATCCCAGTACCAATGCCTGTGATGAAGCCAAGGAAGTTCATCAGTTGGCCCCATTCAGTCCCTCAGTACTGTCCTTCAGTGAGGAGATATATTCCTCCTCACTATTGCCGATGTAGCCCTTCTTGCTGACATTGAACAGAGATCCCTCTTCCCTGCCATTGGAGAATGACCTCAAGAAGGATATTGGGGAGCCCACATTCAGAGCACCGCCTCAACTGGCTCTGGAGTGGCATGGGCCAACCAGCCCCAACCTGGTCAATACCCATAAACATGGCACCTTGTTTGGCTGTATTGACCTTATTGGGGATCATCCTCCCACATGTGAAGGAGTAGTTTAGCCTCTCCTACATGTAGAAAAAGGAATGGATCATGCTTCTTGATGGCTTCGCTGACTAGCCCATCCACAGTGGAATGAGAGGTGGGCCCACAGGAACAGGAGATGATAGAGAGACAACAGTGAGCCCCGTCATCCCCCAAGGAATCCTCCTCACCACCAGACAAGGCAGAGACACCAGCCCCCACCCTGGCTAGGTTGATTCTAAAGCCTTCCTGGACCTCCTGTCCTGAATTGTGGAGACCCTGGATACTGAGGCTTGGACTACACTATCAATTTATACCTGACGTAGTTATACCAACCTCACCCCCAGTGTAAACAGTACTATGCTGATGGGAGGGCTTCTCCCATCGACATAGCTACCGCCTCTCGGGAGGTGGAGTACATACGTTGATGGGAGAAGCTCTTCACTAAGTGCTACAGTGGGATGTAAACCTTAACACGCTTAAAACCGCCTTCACCAAACAAGAACACTTCACCAGATAAGTAGATTGCATTATGGAACGGGCCACCCAAATACCCCGAGAGAACCTGCTTCAATACAGAAATAAAAACCCCTCTGACTACACACCTGTAGTTGTAACCTACCATCCCACACTGGAACTCATATGAGATAGCATTAAACCCATACTCTATGGGGACCACATCCTGAAAGAAATATTTTCTGAACCCCTCTTCTGGCCTTCAAACAACCCCGCAGCTTCTCCAAAGTCATCATTAGAAGCAAGCTCCCCACAGACCAGGACACATCAACTCAAATCTTTACCAGACCCCTGCCAGAACAACAGATGCAAAACCTGTAGACATATCTCCATGGCTACAATGATTGACACCCCCTCCCCAGCACAACTTTCAAGATATGAGAGTCCTGCAACATGTGGCATACCTCATCCAATTCACTAAATGCCCCAATAACAACTATGTGAGTGAAACCAGACAGGCACTATGCTCTCAAATGAGCTAACACAGAAAAATCATAAAAGAGAAAAACACCACGTGGGTGAACACTTTTCAGAAAATGATCACTCTATCTGACTTCTCAGGAAATCTGCACATCTTCAAAAGAGACTCCTGGGAGCTTAAATTTATAACTTTGTTAGACCCAAAAAATCATGGACTAAATAGGACTCTAGATTTATGGCTTATTACAACAATCCCACTAACAACCCCTCCAACAAGTTGCCTTCCCCCCGGCCTTTCCCCCATAACTGAGGGGGTGTTAACAATTAATCTTTAATGGTCCCTTGCAATATGGTATCCAGAAATAAACCTGTATGCCACAGACCAGAACAAAAAATGCCGTGTCTTCTACTCCAGAGGGGTTTTGAGTCCAGGCTTTCTGTAGTCTCATAGGCACAGGGGCTCATGTATGCCTTCTGCCAATCCATTTAAGACCAGGGATCCTGAGGAAACTCAGACAAGGTTCAGCTTCAGTTATTATGATAGACCCAGCTTGGCCCAGACAGTTCTGATACTCTGAGCTGATAAACCTGTCAACACAGCCCCTGATCACACCACTTGTTCTATCTGACATGATTTTGCAAAACAGAAGTGAGATCTTTCACCTCTTTCATCATTACATCTGACAGTGTGGTTGTTGGCTGATTAATTGCCATTGAAAGGAGCTGTTCAAATGAAGTCCAGAACAGTTTGGTACATAGCACAGGAGTGGGCAAACATTTTGGTCTGAGGGCCACATCGGGGTGCGAAACTATATGGCGGGCCGGGTAGGGAAGGCTGTGCCCCCCAAACAGGCTGGCCCCTGTCCCCATCCGACCCCTCCCACTTTCCACCCCCTGACTGCCCCCCTCAGAAGCTCCCACCCATCCAACCCCCCACTGCTCCTTGTCTCCTGACCGCCCCCTACTGGGACCCCCGCCCCC